TGTTTGAATTGAAACACGTAGATGAAGAAATACAAGGTTGATTTAAACTCTGGCTCGTTGATATTGCTAATCAATAATATCATATAGCCATTCATGCAACCTTAAGTTTTACAAAAGAATCTTCAAACAGCATTGAATAACTTCGTGAATAATGAAGACATTATAATATGATTTTTCGAGTCGACAAAGGCAGCGATGTTGTCATAATGGACAGAGACAAATATGTGAACAAAATAATATCGATCTTAGATAACTCATTGAGATTTCTAACTGATCGCATGAAGGAAATGACAGAGTCCACAGAAAGACAGGTGACAAGAAATTTGAAAGAATTTTTGTGGAGGAAGTTAATGGAAATAACAACTTACAATGAGCTAAAACCTCATAAGTCTCAGTTAACACATTTTTATAGTTTGCCGAAAGAGCACATAGCTAAGGACCCGTTGAGAGCAATAACTATCAGTGGTTAACTCACTGTTCCACAAGCTTTCCCGATTATTGGCAAATTATTTAGAATCCATCCGCACAAAGCTGCTTGTTCACAATCTGAAAAACACCTTCCAATTTGCAGAAATGTTGGAGGATCTTAATATTTCTCAGAAATTCATGCTTTCTGTTGATATATCGGTCTTATTTACAAAGATGCCATAGGAAGAGACAATAGATATTATATGTCAGTATCCAAGCCTGTTTCCACTTCCAAAATACGAATTCAAACAGCCCCTATTGATGTGTTTAAAACATGACCAGTTTCAATTTAGTCACGTCTTATACCGTCAAGTCGATCGGGTTGCAATGGTTAGCCCTATGGCCTGAGCCTCAGTGATATCCTCCTCATGGGGAGTGCAGAACAGACGAGACTGAAATATCCAGTCGACTAAACAGCATTCTATGCAAGATACGTTGACAATACATTTATAGTATGCAGTAACGGTGAACATACCACTCACTTAGTGAATCTTTTTAATGAATCACATTCCAATTTAGTATTCACAATGGAAGTGAACATGATAATAAATTTCACTTCCTAGTTCTCGGGCTACAACATCATACAAATGGAAAGATTCATAGATATATTCATCGGAACGACACGTGAAGTGAGCTTTATTGGAACTTCAACAGATTTTGTCTAAGGAGTTACAAAGAATGTCCGTTAAGAACGATTTTCAACAGTGCGTGTAAGCTGTACTTTGAAGACAAAAGTGAGGAAGCGCTGACCTATGGTTACCCACAAAAGTTCATAGACAGGTACGGTAGAGCAGAGACGAAGAGAATCAAGTGGAGTATAACCGAGAAGTCCACCTATCTACACTTTCCCATAGGGATGAACCGTAAAATGAGTGTTGTGCTGAAAAAGACTTATCTAGTTACTAAGATAGTCTGTATCTATCAGATTGAATGCTCGTTGATACAAAACAAAGTGGACAAGTTCCCAAATGTTACCTGCAACTGTATTTACCAATTCACATGTACATGTCAAGCCACATACATAGTAAAAGCAGAGACAAGGGTCATTGTTTGTATTTCTGAACATATCCCGAAGAATTTGATCCACAGAATCTAAATAGTGGAGTCGTTTGGGATTTACCTGATACTGGCTATAAATGTCGACATATCAAAGTGATCGCTAAACAAATGAAACCCAAGCTTTTGCGCTTTGCTCAAGGAGTTGAAATTTAAAGGCTCAAACTTGATCTATATTTTCAGAAGGATATCGTTGTTAATCTTTTTGTACCTTGTTGATTTTAGCCTACTGAATATGTAGCTACAAAATTTTATGACTTCATGACCTTCCGTTTTTTTCTATTTCATCTTTCGATCTATTTCAAAAATTACTCTCATTTTCTGAGTTGTACTCGTCTGATTATTCAATGTAATGAAAATGTGTTACCCGTTTATTACGATTACTTACACATGATGTCGTTTTGTCAATTGTAGAATAACATTGTGTACAACCCTCTCCCATTTTTCTCTATCTTTTCTAGAATATTCGTTCTATCACCGTACAAATAGTTAACCTTGGAGTAGTTTTGATAACTTCAATTTAAGGGTTTTAAAAATTCCCATCATGTAAATTAGTACAAGACATATGAGCGAACAATATTGTTTTCAATTATATTTAATTGTATATAAATATCTATATATATATATATATATATATATATATATATACAAAATTAGGATACATGGAGAAAACGGGGGTAAACAAACCTGGAATTATTGCCGCACGAAAGAAACCATTGTTTATGAAATTGCAATTTAATGGGGATGTAGCCGGATAAGTTTTATATCAAAGACTCTCTAGAGCCATTAAGAGGACTTTCTACGCCTCATAACTCTGTCTATTATTTCCCAGTTGACCAATTGTTGTTGCTTAGATATCTAGTTTTGTCATTTCTGTGTATTTACAAGTTTAGCTGCTCCTATAGAGAAAGCTATGTAGGGCGTACTACTAGAGAAGTTAACAGACGTGTTGCTGAGCATCTACCTTCGTGGTCGCGAAGGGGACAGGTAAAATCCATCAGAAGTTCGGTTTCATCTCACCTCGTTGATAGTGATCACTTGGTAGATAAGAACAATGCTTTCACGATTATTCACCGCATACCATCTCACCTTTCGAAAGGTATTCAAACTCGTCTTTTACACATAGCAGAAGCTGTGGGAATTCGAGCTAATAATCTTAGTCTTTGTATCCAGAAGAAATTTTTACATCCCTTATCTCTCCCTTGGTCAGGAAATACTTAGTTAATAACTTGATCATTGGATTTTTTCCTATCCCTTTCTTATACTTACTGTATTTGTCTAGGCTTTGTTTATCCACTTACCTCGTCCTTCAGTATTACGTAACTTATATTTTCACAAAATTTTGACCCACTTTATGATCGGGGTGTCTATATTTTCATGCTGATTCCCTGGTTCTTATCATCATCATCATCTATATTGGGAGTTAGAAGAAACAGTTTGCAGCGAATACGTATTTTCGGTAAATTCTCGTCAGGCATTTACAAATTATTCAGCATAATCATGTGATATTAATATGGTTAAATTGATTCGGGTATATGAATTAGAAGATAACAGTAAAGGTGATAATAACCAAACAAAATCTCGGAAAGTTTAAGTTTTAAATACTCCTGTCGTAATAGTTACATAGGCAGAACGATATGGCAAACTCACCATCGTTTCATTGAGCACCACCCAGCATGGTTAGGCAAAGGAACAGTGAAATCCATCAAAAACTCAATACTTGCCCATCTAGTAGATACTGAACGTAAGATTGACAAAACCTTAGCATTTACTATCATTTACAAAGTTCCATCACAATACTCTGAGTTTGTGCGCCTCCGACTGCTAAGCATAGCAGAAGCCACAACAATTAAATTTTTAAGTCTAATTTATGTATTCAGAAGATGCTTGTTCGTCCCCTTTCCCTCCCATGGCGTTCAAGTTCAACCCAGATACAGTTACAGTAAATTCCTTCCCAGTCACCCAGATAAATGTAGATATTATCTCTGTTTATACTCTTACCATTTTCATTTTATTTCTCACCCTTAGTTTCATAATTGATTAAGAATTTTAACATTTTATTATCTAACCGCTATGCGACAACAATTTTTATTTCTTTCCATTTTTGCACACACACACACACATAAGGATTTACGATTAAGAATATACAAAAAACCAGATTTTAGTACTATTCCTTGCATTATAGCGTCGTTGATTGGACCCAATTGATCAGTCTCGATTGGGACGTGGGTTCTTGTGCGGATGCCTCGATATTACTTGTGTTTTAATCATAGTAATGATGGATAGTGGCTACCAGTGGAGTCCAGGATGCGCATTTCGTCCTACTTGGGACTCGTCAGCTGGATGCCTCACTGTGAATGATGTTGTTCCCACCGGGATTCAGACTCGGGAGCGGTCGCTTCAAACATCAGAGCGTTATCCACTACACCACCGAGACACGATAGCCACTTGTTGTGAGACGGGTATAGTTTTAGTATAATTGCTTGTATTATACCCTCGTTGACTGGACCGAACTGACCAGCCTCTATTGGCATATGGGCTCCTGTAGCTCAGTGGTGTAGTAGATAACGCTCCGGCGTTTGAAGCGATCGGTCCCGGGTTCAAATCCCTGTAGGAACAATATCGCTCACTGAGAGGTAGGTGCATCCAGCTGACGAGCCCAAATAGGACGAAATGCGCATTCACTGGTAGCCACTATCCATCATTACTTTCCAAGATTTTGTTTTGTTATTATCACCTTTACTGTTATCTTCTAGATTATAAAACCCGAATTAATTTAACCATGTCGTTATCAAATGACCGTGCTGAATACTCTGTAAATGTGAAACCTGACGAGAATTTACCGAAAATGCATATTCGCTGAAAACTCTGTCTTTTAATTATTACAAAGGGAAATTTAATTATATGTGAGTGCTTCAGTCAACGTTATCACTTTTATTATTTGTATTATTATCGCCATCGTTATTCTTAACAAATTTATCACATCAACCAACAAATTTACATGATTGGTTCAATGATATACATATGAAGCTGTTTGTATTTGAATAAAGCTGAAGAGGATCCAATTAAAAACAATACTGTTCGTTTTATGTCTTATTCCAGCTTCAATTTAGGTCAAACTAGATGTTTGTTACCTTCCATCACAAACGAAACATTCTTGTCGATTTATGAAAGTACGTTGTATAACTTGCTGTTTTTTTTATTATCATAAACACTATGTTCGATAAGTTGTAAAGCAACCGAGAATCTACAACATCCAAACATCCTAATCCTACTAATATTGCTCTATTCACACCAATGATATTGAGACGTCAATAGGTAGAAGTATGACTTTGAACTCGTGAATTCCTGGTTGAAAGCCTGTGACCGTGAGCTGAAGATTAAGAATGAAGCCTAGACCATAGAAACTATATATCGTTATTATAATAAGTAAATTTTAAGAAAAATGAATACATTACAAATATCACTAAACTTACTAAACGGTCACAACATGAATGATCCTTCTTACGACTCCCATAGGCTAGACGACCAGCAGCATCTATCAAAATTTATCAGTAGATAGTGATTATGAATATAATTAATAATTGCTAGCTGTAGGCATTATAACCATTACCAATGTCGAAGACAAAGAAGGGATGGAAGAAACTATTTCAAACGGGCTAATACATGGATACATACAGTAAGAAAGAGAACTAGATGTTAATTGGTTAGATACAATCGGCAGGAAACCCTGATTGATCTAGGTTTCATGCTGGCTAGCACTAGTCAGTACGATGCATCTCGAGAGAGGTGATGTCCCCTCTCAGATTAGAACCCGCACCACCCGGTGTCGTAGTCTGCGACGCTACCACAGGGCTGTTCCCAAACCACATGTATGCGTATAGTTAGAATTTAACTCAAAATTAATCAAATAGGAATTTTCGATATGAAGTTCATAATATTTGAATGTCAATTATGACGAGGGATTGAAATTAGAACTCTAAACGTTTCATAAACAGGATGCTAAACTGTTACACCAGCCGAAAAGTTGAAAATATGAATCTCAGATAAGTGTCACTCATCATATCATTTTAGTAATTTTAAAAGTCCTTTAACTTATGACCTAATTGGTAACATTATTGTATAGCTCGGTTCAACAGCTTTTAATTAACTCCTCAGCCGTTTCTGTATGACCTGTATTTTGGAAAAATAACTGCATGTTGAGTAAAACTCATTGTCATGTATTATCTCAAATTTTTTCTTTAAATCAGGTGTCTCATTCTTATATATTATGGTACGTTGTGGGAAGATAATTTAGTTATGTGTATGCAGATGAATGGGATCGCATAATACATATGGAGAATTATGGGGGCTTTTATTACGTAGAGACAAAAGGCAGCTAATAGGGGAGTTGCTCTCAAGTCATGATCAGATCATGTTCAGGTCATGATTTATGCATGCGCTGACATGAGAACCTGATTGGAGAAGTTCGACCTCATACAAGAAATCTGATTGGTTCATTCATGGCTTCACTTTCTGAGAGTTTTGTAAATACATATATGTCATTTATTTGCTTAATAAGAAGTTTGTCGCTGTTCTTCAGTCGCAGACCGTCTTTGTCTTTTGATTTCTCCGCGGCTCAGTGAAGCAGAAGGTACTGAGGGAGGTCAGTCGTAAAGGTATTCAGTTGAGGTGTCTATTGAGTCTCAGTATTCATTAAACCCACGCGCGCAACCCCACCACTCGGTCGCAACAGCTCTAAAGGCCGCCCGCCAACCAACAAAACAACCAATCACTACCTCATTTTAGCTAGGAAAGCAATTTCTCATAGAATAGAGTAAAGTGATTGGTTGTTTCATCAGTTGCTAGGGTTGCCTTTAACGTCGCTCACACTAAGCATCGACTTTGTATTCTTTTGTAAATGGTTAGGCGGGCAGAATTGAGTGACTCATCATGTGGTGGGTTGAGTATGCCAGACAAGTAGTTTTAAAGACCAACGTAGCCACAACTGAAATAACCAATTATATCTCTTTATTTAGGCTGGAAAGGCAAATTCTCATAAAATAAAAGATCTGATTGTCTATTTCCCTTGTTGTTAAGGTGGCCTTCAGAGTCACTCGTACTACACTTGGCAAGTATATTCAAGACCAATCACACTGAAGGTCGGTGTTAAGACTACTTTTTTAGACTATACTTCAGCATTTGGTTTTGTCGCGAGACCTCTTTTGCTGGACAAGGTAACTGGGACAAATACTGAGTCCTGGATAATCAGCTGGCTTCATTCATATTACTCTGAAAGGAAACGACATACTGTTCACAGAAGGAAGCACTGCACCTCATTACTTACTGCAACTTGTATGCTCCAAGGAGCCGTCCTTTCCCCATGTTTTTTTCTCTTTCTTTCTGCATAACCTACCATCTTCAGCTTGTATCAACTGCATCAAATATGCTGGTGACCTAACTTCCCATACCTATCTCCTCTTCAGGAGATTGTTCCCAAGTGAGTGTCTTCCTATGTACTGTTGGACGATGACCCTCCTTGAATGGCCTTATGCTTACTTCTTCGAAATGTCAGACCATAAACTTCAGTTTTAGACGTGAACATAACCTATGGAAGCTGCTTAGTATTCATGTTTCCTGTTCTATTGATAGTTGTACATTACAGAATGTTACAAGTGTGATTTATCTCGGTCTGCGTTTTTCTTCGGACCTTTCCTAGTCCTCCCATATCTTAGTAATTTCCAAAAAGATTTTCCGCCTAACTTTCTAAATTAGGAAGCTAAGATTATCTGGCATAACTTAGCCTCTCCTCCTGTGTTTTTAATGAACTACATTTTGTCTGTTATCCTCTATTGTTCTTTATTATTTTCCGGGTTGCTAAAAAGATTATGCTATTTGTGTAGAACTTTGAAGATTATCAGCAGAACTAATCGTGTACCTCTAACACTTTTAGTTAAAACAGTTGCGGACAAACATATTAACCCATATAAACATCCAGAAGGAGTTATTTTATCATACGACCAACATTCCCTTCAGTTGAAGCTCTCTCCTTGTCAGTCACCTGCAAAGCCAAGGAGCAAGTACATAAGACTTGATGCACGTACTACAAAATATGAAAACTCTATAATGGCGTATCTAGCTCGTTTGCTGTGGTATGAATAAAGTACTAGAAATGAACTAACTAGTCAACTTCTGTTTCTGAAACGAATTGATGATGAGCATCTTAACCCTCTACCTCAACTTCATCGACTTTGAAAAGGTCTTCGACAGCGTCAACTGAGAAGTATTTTGACAGGCAGTTGCTTCAACACTACAGTTCTAGTACCACAAATCTTCATCAACCTCATTCACAGCTATATGAAGACGCCATATACTAAGTGATTCAAAATCGAAAGCTCAGTAACGCCCTGGAAGTGAAGACAGGAGTAAGATAAGGCTACCGCCTACTATCACCCATCATCATCCTCATTGTCGTCGACCGGATCATGCATCAAACAGTGAGGAGCGAGAAGATGGGCATACGCTGGCTAGACCGGTGAAGAGAACCCACAAGAAGATCTGGATTTAGCCAGTGATGATGACTTATGTCTAATGTCTCGTCACACAAACTCGAAGATCTACAGACGGAAACCAACAAGTTGACAGAACAGGCGAGGCAGCGAAAACGGGACTTCCTTCAAGTGAATGTAGAGAAGACAGAGGTGATGAAGGTACCCAACCAACAACAGCATAACAACTAGAGGCACCAATCACCATTAACGGGAGAAGCCTAAAGGAAATAGTCTCTTTCACCTACCCACCTAGGCAGGCAGCATCGTTTCAACTACAGGTGGTGGTGGTGGTGGTGGCACAGACGAGGATGTAAAACCAGCCAGGATCGAAAAAGCAAGCAAGACAGGCTTTCATCATTAATCTGAAATGATCAGTGTGCAGATCTACTGCACTAAGCACAAAGAACAACATCCGGGTTTTCAACACCAATTCAGTCAAGTCAGTGCTGCTATATGGGTTAAGAAACTTGGCACATACGGAAAGCACTTCCAACAAACTACATATTCATAAACAGCTGCCACCTACGCTCACTCGATACTCACACTGAAGTTCAGATGGGAAGGCCAGAATAATAAGAATAAGCAACAAGGAACTCTGCTGGCTGGCTGGCTGGTGACGACCAACCAACAACCTATCACCTAACAAATATGCAGAAGAAGAAAGTGAAGATGGATTGGATTGGATTGGGGATACACTGAGAAGGCCGATTGGGGACATCACTCACCAGGCCAGGCCGTCGAGTGGAATCCGAATGGGAAACGATGAGTTGGACGTCCGAGGCGAGGGTGACATGGAGGAGATGATGTGAGGAAGAAATCAAAGCTTGTGAGCAGTGGTTGCGCCAGGTTGAGAAGACTGTCGAGAACAGAGTGCAATTGATGCGTGCTACTGAAGCCCTGTGTTCCATTAGGAACCCGAGGGAAAAAATAATAATGTTCCGATTTATGCATTATGAATCTAACTGCTAATGCAATTGTCTACCTAAATTAGCTGTATATTTTCAAGAAAATTGTAGAGTAATATTCCTATCTTTTTATTATTATGTAATTTATACTTACTCCATTTTGTTATGTATACATGTACGCTGTCTCTGTCCAGTTGATGTCATATGACATGCTGGAAATTTTGTAGAGCATTCTAGAAATAGCTTTCAGAATAAAACCATTGTTATCATCATTATAAGCGTGTCCCGTGCTAAAATCCATTACAGCCAGATGAAGTTAAAACATCGGCTACTGGGTTAACTCAGTAATATGATACCGGGTAATATAACAGCTGTTTTCTGAACATTCATTGATGTGATCGCTGATATGGATAAAAAACCACTCTGTCTGGTTTGAGTCATTTTCTGTGTGACCTTCTTATAGGTGGTCCCAATTTTCTCTGTTGGTATTCTTTTGTGCTCCAACTCCATATCTGCTTCTGTCAAAAAATTTAGTCGTACGTTGAAGTTGTTTCCCTCCTTCCCTTGAGCTTTCATAGGAACAAAATTGACATTTCCTTGAGACTAGCATTAAGGTTGGGGCTTGCCGAGAATCCAGTTTAATCTCTCACGAAGCATAGACTGTCTATGGATGAAAGACGCGCTTTGAGTCATACTGTAGATACAGTCTAGGTTTTCGCATTATGCCACACCCCATGGTGTTCTGGAACATACATAAGTGATTCTGATGTAAACCTGCCAGTTAACTGAGAAATACTGGGAGACAATCAAACTACGTTCATGATCATTGATATAAGTACCACGCACTGGACTTACTGTACTGAATGGAACATCCCAAAGTTGAAATTTAATGAACTAGTCGACAGCAATAATGTCTAGGTCATGACGATTTGTCAAATAGAACGTCACCGTAAAGGATTGGTGTTAAGTTGGAAGTTATAATCTATCGCTCCAATAAGCTTTAAGATATCGCCAGATGCGTTGCGGGCAGCATGTCCCATGCGTTTTATGGAAGTCGACCAAAAACATTCTAAATTTCATTCGGAATTGAAGTGATATCTGAT